AAAGACTAAAAACGTCGCAAGAAAACTACTAAAATGCCGCATGAAGACCACAAAAACATCTCACAGAAACTGCCAAAACATCGCAAAAAAAACAACTAAAAATCAAGCAAAACTACCGAAACATCGCCCTTCTATAAACCAGCGAAACGTCGTGCAAGACTCACATGAAGGCGATGTCCCCGGCGGTGAACTCGGGGGCCTCGTGCAGCGTGTGGCACTGGACGCGTCGCACCGCCAGGCTCGAGTCCGAAAGGGCCGCCGACACACTCTCCTGAATACATGTTTATATATACATATACATACATACATACATATATATATATATATATATATATATATATATATATATATATATATATATATATATATAATCTCTAGTGTGTGTGTGTAGATATAGATTGATAGATAGATATAGATATAAAGCATTTCCACCTGCAGGTCGTGCTCGGCGCAGGCGTCGGGCATGCAGGTGCTGTAGGTCTTGAAGGGCGCGAGGTTGAGGCTGGTGGGGAACAGGGGCGGCAGACGCGCCTGCTGGCGCGCGCAGGCGTCGAGGGCGCCGGCGCCGCAGCCTCCTTCGTGCCGCCCGCCCTCCTGGCTGCGGTTCTTGCTGGAATGAGACGGGAATGAGAGGCGAGGTTGACCCAGGCGCCCGTTCCCATATCCGACTATCCTCACCCGCGCCCCCCGCCCCCCAACAGAGCGCCTCAGACGTACGAGACAAAGACGCGGCAGAACTTGCCCCAGACGTCGCCGTCGGGCGAGGAGGCGCCCACGCACTCGTCGTAGACGCCCTCCAGCGCCCAGTTGCCCGAGTAGAGGCCGTCCGGGACCTTCGCCCACGAATCCACAACTGGGGGAGGAAGGGCGCTCTGACATCGCATTCTGAGGACGCGCTCAGAGCCCTCTCAGGGCACGCCCTGAGGGCGCCCTCTCAGGCACGCTCTGACTCTGAAACATTTCTCGAAAGAGAAGCCTTTTGGGCAGACCTGAAGGGAAACAGGAAGGGAAGCACTGGCAAGCTGTTCAGAGAACATGAGGAGAGGTAGATGGAGCAAAAGACACAGCTGTGGCGTGTCAAGTGCCATGACACCAGTGCGTGCCATGACCCTCGACACGCGACTCACTCTTGGCGGCCCAGAGCGTGGAGTTGTCAGCCAGCGACGCCGCCATCGCCTGCAGGGCCCTCTGGCACGTCGAGTTCTCAGGCGCCGTCCCCGGAAGGTACATGTTGGCCCAGTGAGCCGCCCTCTGCGACAGCCACGCCTTGGCAGGGTCTGTGGGTAGAAAGTGAGGTGCAGTGAACCATGGCAGGTTGCAGTGTCCCTGAAGGAAACACGGAAAAACACGTTGTCCTTGGTTGCACAAGGTGCTACTTCGACTGCAGTCGCCTAGATGTTCAAAGAGTTCGTAATCGATAATTTATGGAATTGGTCTTACTTTTTCTTTTTAAGAATATTCAATGTTATATTGCTTTATAGTTCTTGTTCTTGTTTTCGTTTACTCTTTTGCAAACGAGAGCAGACCTCTCTATTGACCCAAACCTAGTATTGACCTTTTTTGACCCAAAATTCGTATCATTGCATTTTTCCTTTTCATACTTTTGATGTTTGTGTATTTTGGTTACGAAGAGTACAGATAGAAAATAATTGTAAATTGTACCCTTCGTACAAGCGTGTATTAGAAGCAAAGAAGCTGTGCTATCCCACTGGCATCACTGACTGATTTTTATGTACATCTCCCGCTGCAGAATCTCCTAGATCACACGACCTTACGCCTGCTGCACGCACAAACACAAGCAGTTGGTACACTGAGGGAATCACTAGCTGATAAGCGTATGACACTAGAAATAATAATAAAGTATGGCTTCGATGGCAGTGGAAGTCACTCGCTCCATGCCATGAAGGTTAATGAAATGAGTTCAGAGGGGGCAGAAACTCAAATGTTTGCCTCATTCATATGCCCAATTAGGGTTATATGTAAAGAGACTAAGGCCATATTATGGCAAAACCCTGTGCCATCTTCTCCTGTTTATTGCCGTCCCCTTCGCATAAAATTCGCAAAGGAAACAAAAGAGCTCATAAGATCAGAGCATAATTCCATCGAATGTGAGATTCAAGACCTGACACCTACTATTGAGGGAGATATAACAGTACATCATACATTGATTCCTACTATGGTAGATGGCAAAGTTTGCCAAGCGCTTTCAAATACGCCATCTTCATCTAGTTGTTTTCTGTGTCAACCTGTTACAAAGCCATCCCAAATGAATAAAATTAATGAAATTAAAGGTAAGGGTCGAGAATCTCAAATACAGCATATCACCTCTTCACTTACTAATAAATACCATGGAATGTGTATTACACATAGCCTATCGATTGGACTTAAAAGTGTGGAGTGTTAAGGGAAAGGAGAGTAAATCCATCATGCTCAAGGAAAAAGAACGTATTCAGTCCGCATTTAAAAAAGAAGGGATTAATGTTGACTTTCCATCCCAAGG